TTAAACCCCCTAAATTTGTTAATTCAATTAAATACCCCTAAATATTTTTAATGTTTTTGTTACGGTGACTCCGGTCACCCTCCGAGGGGTGGCTGGCTGCCCGTATTTGAGGGTGGATTAGGGGTGTTTTTGTAACTTTTAATATTTTATTATAAGGGTGTTTGTAAAAAAACAAACATAAGGGGTATTTTATGAATTTGTAAATCCTACAATCGTATACCCACCTAATTCAACTTTTTTTTTTAACTTTTTTCAAAAAACTTTTCCCAAAACAAAAATTGTGAACCAAACGGAGCCTTGAACTTTTGAACAGGTATTGAATTCCTTTTATACAAAATAATAATAAATAAAATTAAAAAGAATTAATTTTCTCTCTTTATTTGCGTTTTACTTTTATTTTCTTTTTCATATTACATCGACGGACCAAAAGCAGAGTAATCAATAATGGCGACTCAGCTCGTGAGACGGTCCTCGGTAGCCAATCGAACCAGATCCTCTCCGCTACAAACCCCAACCCAAGCTCAATTTTACCCATAGCTAGATACTTTTCTGCCGACACTACTCCGATCCGAGCCACTCTCTCTCCCCGGCGACGGAATCGCCCCGAATAGCCGAGTCCGTTAAACAGGTCTACTCCGTTTCAAAACTGCTTTGCTTCTCTTCTTTTTATGCTGTGTTTGTTCTTTTAAATTTCTCCTTTTGATAAATATTGAAGATTATTTACTTTTTCTTGGCTGAACTAAATGCAATTTCGCAATTGGATGACTTCTATGGTCCATCTTGTAACTTAATTATTCGCTGTGTATTTTGTGTTAGGAAAAATCTTTTTCATATCTCTGGCAAAAATAGCAAAGAACTTACTTGAATATGTCATAAACCTCTTATGAAATTCATCAGAGATGTTAATTGAAGTTCAATAAATCTATCAGAACTTCCCTTTTGTGGAAGGCCTTCTGTAATTAAGTTGTCGCTTATGGAGATAATAAAATTCACATTTCTATGTATATTCTTTTGCTCTTCTGCTTGAACGCTTTTCATAAGTTGAAGGTAAAGAATGCATGGTAAATATTCAATATTACAATGGCAGTGTGGATTTGGTTGAATGGAGAGAATTTACTTTATTGTTGAAAAGAAGTGAAAATAAGTGTGAGATTGAATGCTTTTTTGAAAAATTGCATTAATTGTTCATTATAATATGGGTTTTTTTATTTTTATTTATTTTATTTTATTTTTTGTAGTTAAGGTTTTGTTGATGCTCATTTAAATTAGAGGTATAAGGTAAGATTTGACCTTGTTTTGTCGATGGGAATATGTTGTATTCTTTTTTGTGTTGAATTTTTCTTTATATATTTTTGTTTTTCTTTCCTTGCGTCCTATTTTGTAGATTGTTATTGGGGAAGAATTTTCTGCTGCTTTGCTCTTTGCCATTTGTAGACATAGTATCTTAATACTCTTTTCCTATTCACTCATAGCTTTTTTATGTCAATAGAAAGTGGATCATGTTACTGATGACTCTAGCTGCAAACTTCAAGCATTTGTAGTAACATTCTTTGTCAGAGCAACTTAATAGTTGTGACAAATGTTGTCATTTGTACTCATGTAGGTGTTGAACAGCTGAAGTGCCAATTGAATGGGAGGAGCACTATGTCGGAACTGAAGTTGATCCCAGAACTCAAAGTTTCTGACATGGGAAAGTTTAGAATCAGTACGCGAAATGGGGTAGGCTTGAAAGGGCTATGGCACACCAATCGAAAGGTCATCGTTCTTTGAACCTTACTTTGAGGAAAGAGCTTAATTTGTATGCCAATGTTAGGCCTTGCTACAGCCTTCCTGGCTATAAACCGGTATGATGATGTAATCTTATCACTATCCGAAAATACTGAAGGGGAGTACAGTGGTCTGGAACATCAAGTGAGTTCGCTTCTGCAAGAACAGATTTTCTCACTAACAAACATACAGAATATAGTATAAATCTAAAGGAGTTTTTTATTTCTTATGATAGGTGGTAAGGTGTGGTTGAGAGTCTCAAATTATTACCCGTCGGCTAGTTTGAGGGTGGCTGAATATGCTTTTCACTATGCCAAGGCCCATGGAAGAGAAAGAGTGTCTGCAATACACAAAGCTAATATTATGCAGAGAACGGATGGTCCTCTCCTAAGGTCTTGCATTTTTAAGTCATTAATTATAGATTCCTCTCCCGCAATACTATGTATCTGTTTATGAAATATGATTAATTTTTACTTGCAGTGTTGTCGTAGTTGCAGAAAGTACCCTGAGATAGTATATAGAGGAAGTTGTTATTGACAATTGCTGCTGAGATTTTACAATTCCTTATTACTTGTACTCTGTTATGTGAAGATATTTTAGATTTATAATTGATGGAGTAATAAAGAACTGCATGGATGGAACTTTGTTCTTTTTCTGATTATAGTAATAAACAAAATTAGGGGCCACAACTGACTACTTGTTTTCCATGTACAGCTTGTGAAAAATCCAGCACTATTTTGATGTATTGGTGATGCCCAACCCTCTATGGCGACATTATCATTGATTTATGTGCTGGTTTGATTGGTGATTGGGCCTAACACCAAGGTAACTGGGATCTTCTGTCTTCTCCAGTAACATAGTCTAGGTCATCTAACAGCATTTAATTTTGTGCAGTTGCAATATTGGAGAGGGAGGAATTGCCCTTGCTGAAGCTGTTCATGGTTCAGCACCTGATATTGCTGGAAAGGTTGGCCTTCAAACCTGCATCATGATTTCTATCTTGCATTGATCTTATAACTTGCTATTTAACTTTGCCATATGCATATTCATGTCTGCTTGGTTTTCTAATGGTTTTCTAATTGCTTTGGAGTTTCCTTTTTTCTCCTGCCTGTTGTCAAACAAGGAGGTGTAAACATCTATTGAAGCTATTTCATATGGCCTCAGCCTCACTTGGGGTGTTAGCATAAAATTATAATGATTTAGTGTAGCACTCTAAAGTTCTTTCTTAACCTTTATCAATTAATGTAATTCTTTAGTTATCTTGATGTATCAGAAAATTAACTTGCCGAAGCAACATCTAACTTTATTTGGTATGGTATTTAATGTTATGCTATAATGACGAAACAAGCTCCAATCATTGTATATGATAAGATAATAATAGCGTTTGTTTAGTTATTATAGATAGAATTGTTCTTCAGAATTGAGTATGGGAAGGAGGGGGCTCATGAAAGCTTCGGAAGAAGTACTGGTGGCCTTAAGTTGTGGGTTTCTATCGTGTCCTTTTAGAAACATAAAGAAAGCCTGAATAGATCTGGATATTCTCTCCATAGGTTGACAGCTATTTTGATGTGTGATCATGCTTGATAATTGTTTTTTCCAAATTAAGATAGGCATATATACTAGATAATAGTGAGGTGAATAGACATGTATATGAGATATTAGTGAGGTGAATGTGTTGTGTTAGTATTCATGGTTTCTCCTCTGTAAACTTCTCAATTGCTTTAAAGTGGGTGAGCTTGGTGCTCACCAAGTTCCTTTGGATCACATTATATTTTCTACTGGTTGTCGTAATGAAGCACACTTTCATGTCCTATGTCACTATTTATTTACTACTTATTTTTTTATGTGTTTTGACTTGCCCCAGAATTTGGCAAATCCAACTGCCTTGCTGCTGAGTGCTGTGACAATGTTGCGGCATTTAGAGCTCCATGATAAGGCTGATAGGATCCAGAATGCTATCCTCAACACAATCGCAGAGGGGAAGTACCGAACTGCTGATCTTGGTGGCTCTTCAACAACCACCGATTTTACAAAGGCTATTTGTGATCATCTTTGAAGATATGTTGCTACATAGGATTGAGGTCATGTTGAATTGCCAGCTCTGATTTTTTTGAGCCATGTGTCAGATGTTCATTTCTTTAACCAAAGTTTTTTTCTTTAAGGGGAATAAGACCCATCACCTTGATGACTATTTAAAAGTTGCTCTGTTGTCACTGTTCACCCTGGGGGAATATGAGCGTCCTTGAGAAGGTAAATACAGCATAAATAATGTGCGCGATGTCATGTGAAATTTCAAATAATTTTTACTAAAAGATTGTTTAGAGAAAATTGCTCGGCTCTCAGTATTGTTTGTTTTCTTTTTGGTATTCTGATCATTAATATTATAAACGAAATAAAAGCATCATGATGTACTCGAGATGAAAGATGTTTTTATCTTCAGTTAAAGAGTAAGTTTATATGAATTTCTTTGTTTGCCTTATTGCATGTCATTGTCATCTCTTGTATTATAAATGTCGGCAAGCTTTTCCATGTTTCGGTTGGTGTAAGATTGAGTTTTTAATTTTTTATAGTTGATTGCGAAGGTGAACTTGTGCACATGTTTTGCCGACGTACAGGCTGGTGGGGTTGGTTCAGTTATTAAAATCAGGACGGCCGAAAAATATAGCCGACATGCATTTGCAATTCGATGTTTCTTTCAATATAATCGTCATCTTATATGTTTAATTTAGTAGTGGAATATCATTTTAGTAAATGATGTTATTTCTATGCTATCAACCTGGCCACAAATCGTCATCACCCTTTTGATAATATTGTTGTAGATCCTTACCTTGAGTATAATAACTTGTTAATTTCTTTTCCAAAATTAAAAACAAACAAATGGATGAGTTAATTGTATTTATCCTAAGGTTCGGCTTTTAAAATTAGGACAATATCATTTATTTGGGATATTTTGGTTTGTAATCAGAGAAACCTTTCTAATTAATTGATTTTTAATTTTTTTAAACATTGGTTAAATTTTAAGGGAATGAATCTATTATTTTAAAATGTAGGATATAAAGATAGTCAATCGAAACTTTAGGGTGCACAAAGTCTTTCTCTCACAAATGGACTCATAAAACTATCCTCTTTTATCTCCACGCATCTCATCTCATGCCATAGACTGTTAGTTGATTCTGAAACTCATATAAGTTAATAATATCACGTCAATAATGGTTATCAAAAGCATAATAAGATAATGCAAAAATATTAGAAAGTTTTTCATAGAAGACGACGATATTAACCACAATTCTCTCGTTAAAGTTAACAAAGACTTCACGGCGAAATTAGTTAAATGAGCAATAAGCCAATAACATAATTTCTTACCTACCCAAATAGCGGCAAGCAACAAAACAGGAAGCAGTGCCACACTTCCGCCGGCTGAGATTTTCTCAGCCTACGAATGGCCGACTGAATCGCTGAGATTGAGGCACACAGCACTAACACATCCCCTTTTAATTACATCTTCGCTCAAACTCAAATCTTGCTCCTTTAGACCGTTGACTAGACACTCTCTCTCTTTCATCAACCAATGGCTGACTCTGGTGTTCTTTTGGGCATGGGCAATCCCCTGTTGGACATCTCTGCCGTAGTAGATGATGACTTCTTGAATAAGTATCTCACTTCTTCATTTCTACTCAGTTCTAAGAATTACTTTTGACTTTCTTTTTATATTTATAGTGTATTAGTATTGTGACATTTAATGATCTTGCTTGTTATGTTACTAAATTATGTCACAACTTATCAAATTGTCATTAGGCGTGGTGAGAATACTGAGACTGTAGCATTGCCCTTGTTTCAATTCACATTTTTCTTCTGATTATCTGGACTACTGCAGTACAGTAATGGCAAAAATTTGGTGTTTTCTCTGTTGCTGATTATTTGTATCTGCTTAGCTTAATGTTTTGAATGAGAATATGTAGATGTTTTATTGGCTTTCAGAATGTGTTAGGATGCTTCGCTTTGAAATTTAAAGTGGTTGTTTTTGGGTGACAGATACGACATCAAGTTGAACGATGCAATTCTTGCTGAGGAGAAGCATTTAACTATGTAAGCATTCTTTTTCTTTTTTTCTTTAGAGCAGCTTGATCTCTTGTTTTGGTCTCTTGTTCTAATTAGGTTGTTGAAGTTTTTATGCTGATCAAATATGCATTTGTTGCAGCTTTTTTATGTGTAAAAAGATTTCCTTCACTTTACATTTGTTGTAGATAGCATGGAATAGAATAGCATTAATATTGATTCATAAATGTTTATTAAGTTACAATATTACTACTTCTTGTTTTCATACCCATGATGTTACATGAAAATTGAAAATGATTGTGTTATTTGACGTAACCCAAGTTCAATTTGGTAAGCCATGAATTTGAAGTCTTTTATAAAGTTTTCAAGCTCAAACTGACATTTGCGGTTAGTCATTGTCTTGCTGTCTTAACATAGTCTTATAAACTTTCAAGAGTTGTTAAGGCTTACACTGCTACAACAATATGAAAGTTTGATGGTGACTTTTTGAGGCTGAAAACATTGGAAAGAGGAGAGAGGCAGGAAAATATCCTCAACTGGTATATGGAAAATAAAATTTGAATGGTTTGCCACATATGCTATTTACTATTGAATAAACATGTTGATACCTTGTGTTAAAATGCATTCTTGCTTATTTATTTTGGAAATCTGCTCCCATTGGCTTATTATGGTAATGGTTGAGGAAGCTGAAGTTCTGACTATCCCAACTCATCTCCTAAAACGTGTATTTTCACCTTGTTAATATTCGACAATTTCAATGTATTATCTTGTTAGACAATAACATGGTTGGTGTGACACATCTTCTGGGCTAACTGAAATATGGGCCAATCTTACATGGATTTTGTCTCAGGTATGATGAAATGTCTTCGAAATACACTGTGGAGTTCATTGCCGGAGGTAATGCGTTTGAAATTTAAAGAAATTGGTTTGAAAGAAAAATGTGCTATGTACTTTAGTTAGCACCTAACAGTTTATGATGAGTTCTTTGTGATTTTATTATGTGCAGGAGCTACTCAAAATTCAATTAGAGTTGCCCAGGTATTTTTGTGGATTTATTTTGATGGCACTAGAGGAAGCCAGATAGATTTTATCTGATTACTAAAGTGGAGTGAGTTTCCTTTTATGTCTTCCAGTGGATGCTTCAAATTCCTGGTGCAACAAGCTTCATTGGTTGCATCGGAAAGGACAAGTTTGGTGAGGAGATGAAGAAAAGCTCAAATTTTGCTGGGGTTAATGTAAGTTTCTTTATTTTTGTCTCAGAGTTAATTATTTTCCTGTTATTTTCCTTGATGAAACTTCTGCATTTATATTGACATATTTGTTGTTGATGTTAAAAATCAGGTTCAGTATTATGAGGATGAGGCTGCACCTACTGGAACTTGTGCTGTCTGTATTGTGGGTGGCGAAAGGTTAGTTTGATACCGAGCTTCCTTCATGATTTTCATTTTACTGTTCAACATTTGCTATTGCAGTTCCTATATATATATATATATATATATTAAAAAAAATCATTTGCTATTGCAGTCTTTTAGTGTTTCTACGAGTACTGTCAAGAAAGGCAATCTTAATATTCATCTACTGTATTCTGTGTTGGTGGATGTATAGGTCACTAGTTGCAAATTTGTCAGCTGCAAATTGTTACAAATCTGACCATCTGAAAAAACCAGAAAATTGGGCACTAGGTACCCTTTTCACTTCTCCATTCTTCGTTTGCATCTTTCTTATGTGCGATTGTACGTTCTTTAAACTGATTTTTTTTAACCCTTTTCTGGCAGTTGAGAAGGCCAAGTACTTCTATATTGCCGGGTTCTTTCTCCCTGTATCCCAGGAGTCCGTACAATTTGTTGCTGAACATGCAGCTGCGAATAACAAGGTATATCACGTGACAAAATCTCCTCCTGTATGCTGCATATGGTAGCTTTTGAATTTGAATGAAACCAATTTGACATATATATCTGCAGGTCTTCATAACAAACCTTTCTGCTCCGTATCTCTGCGAGTTCTTCAAGGATGTGCAGGATAAATTTATGCCGTAAGAATTTTTTACAAAATATGTTGCTGTATAAGATAATCTATACACATTGGCTTGAAGATTCTGGTTTCGGGTTCAGGTACACGGATTTTGTCTTTGGAAATGAGACAGAAGCAAAAACCTTTTCAAGAGTTCATGGTTGGGAGGTAATTGTTGCCTGATACCAGATACTTTGAGATTCCAAGCTTTTGTTTTATAAATGGTAACCAGTTTGGATCGTTTCCATTGTGCAGACAGATGATGTTGAGGAGATAGCTCTGAAGATTTCCCAGTGGCCCAAAGCATCAGGAGCACACAAAAGGATTACTGTTATTACTCAGGGTGCTGATCCTGTTGTTGTGGCTGAGGATGGGAAATTGGGGAAGTTCCCTGTGGTATTGTTACCAAAAGAAAAACTGGTTGATACAAATGGAGCAGGTATGCATGTATTTACAAATGCTAAATAAGATTATTGTACACCAAATTACTTGTAAATCGAAATCCATACATAAGAATTCTTATGGAATGTTTGCAGGGGATGCGTTTGTTGGAGGATTTTTATCACAGTTGGTTCAAGAGAAGTCCATAGAAGAATGTGTGAGGGCTGGTTCTTATGCATCCAATGTTATCATTCAAAGGTGTGGCTGCACTTTCCCTGAAACTCCTGATTTCAAATGAGCAATGTTGCCGCCTGCCGGCACTGACTAGCCAGAAAATAATTTTGGGCGGGCTAATATTAATAAGACAAGAATTATACACTTTCAACTTAAGGGTCCCGAATGATTAATTGAGGTGTGAACAAGCTGGCTCAAATACTCCAAGGTCCCGAATAATTAATTGAGGTGTAAACAAGTTGGCTCAAATATTCCTGATCACCAAAAAAAAAAAAAAAAAAAAAAAATTGTATACTTGNATTGTTACAAATCTGACCATCTGAAAAAACCAGAAAATTGGGCACTAGGTACCCTTTTCACTTCTCCATTCTTCGTTTGCATCTTTCTTATGTGCGATTGTACGTTCTTTAAACTGATTTTTTTTAACCCTTTTCTGGCAGTTGAGAAGGCCAAGTACTTCTATATTGCCGGGTTCTTTCTCCCTGTATCCCCGGAGTCCGTACAATTTGTTGCTGAACATGCAGCTGCGAATAACAAGGTATATCACGTGACAAAATCTCCTCCTGTATGCTGCATATGGTAGCTTTTGAATTTGAATGAAACCAATTTGACATATATATCTGCAGGTCTTCATAACAAACCTTTCTGCTCCGTATCTCTGCGAGTTCTTCAAGGATGTGCAGGATAAATTTATGCCGTAAGAATTTTTTACAAAATATGTTGCTGTATAAGATAATCTATACACATTGGCTTGAAGATTCTGGTTTCGGGTTCAGGTACACGGATTTTGTCTTTGGAAATGAGACAGAAGCAAAAACCTTTTCAAGAGTTCATGGTTGGGAGGTAATTGTTGCCTGATACCAGATACTTTGAGATTCCAAGCTTTTGTTTTATAAATGGTAACCAGTTTGGATCGTTTCCATTGTGCAGACAGATGATGTTGAGGAGATAGCTCTGAAGATTTCCCAGTGGCCCAAAGCATCAGGAGCACACAAAAGGATTACTGTTATTACTCAGGGTGCTGATCCTGTTGTTGTGGCTGAGGATGGGAAATTGGGGAAGTTCCCTGTGGTATTGTTACCAAAAGAAAAACTGGTTGATACAAATGGAGCAGGTATGCAAGTATTTACAAATGCTAAATAAGATTATTGTACACCAAATTACTTGTAAATCGAAATCCATACATAAGAATTCTTATGGAATGTTTGCAGGGGATGCGTTTGTTGGAGGATTTTTATCACAGTTGGTTCAAGAGAAGTCCATAGAAGAATGTGTGAGGGCTGGTTCTTATGCATCCAATGTTATCATTCAAAGGTGTGGCTGCACTTTCCCTGAAACTCCTGATTTCAAATGAGCAATGTTGCCGCCTGCCGGCACTGACTAGCCAGAAAATAATTTTGGGCGGGCTAATATTAATAAGACAAGAATTATACACTTTCAACTTAAGGGTCCCGAATGATTAATTGAGGTGTGAACAAGCTGGCTCAAATACTCCAAGGTCCCGAATAATTAATTGAGGTGTAAACAAGTTGGCTCAAATATTCCTGATCACCAAAAAAAAAAAAAAAAAAAAAAAATTGTATACTTGATCGCGCGACATTGTGATGAATAGATGAAAATTCTAAATTTTAATTTATTTAATTTATATTTCTTTAGTAATAATATATGAGAAATTGTATAAATAAAACATTAGTATATAGCTCATAATTGAGTCAATTGTTTACAACAATTGCAGTTGTGACATTAAAGATTAAAAGTAGTTACATATCTTTTTTATTTATCTAATTGATGAGGATGCCGTTGAATTCAAAGTATTCTTATTCTAAATCTAAATCAATATTCCAAATCCCACACCATTTACTTTACAACTCAAAACAATTATCAAGTCATGTTGACTTCTACTTCAACACAACCTAAATTTCCAAATTAATTGGAAAAAAATTATTATCATAAATTTTATGGCAATTTTTTTTTCAATTAATTCGTTATTGATGTAATATCTATGATATTGATTACACAATCTTTATAATTTATTATATATTTATAACAAATATATAGTATACTTTTTTTTTTTTTAATGATTAGAGTTGTTCGGGTCAGTTTATATGCATCTTAACTAATTCTTTAAAACTTTGGAACTATCAATTGAATAAGAGCTTCAGTAGTTACTCTTATTAGCAACCGAGGAAGGACTCAAATACAAATCTCCTTGAATAATATACCCAAGAGTCTCTATCGAACAACAACTCAATCACCCAATGATAGTTATATAGTATACTCTTATAATAAGAATGCATTTAAATATAACTAATTAAAATGAAGTGAGATGTTAGTCTCACCAATCAGACCGACATTATCTGGATATCTAATCAAACTCTATCTTTCTTTATTTTCTGTAAAAGCTTTAAATAAAATACCAAAAATTTCTATATAAAGTTTCTCAATACAAATTATGAAAGTTTCCTCTTACTAATCCTGATTTATATCCAACACAATTCACGTCGCGCGTACTATTAACGCTTTGAGAAGCGCGTCATGGGAGATCCCTACTTTCAACCCCCTTTGAAGCTCACACCGCCTCCACCACCACTCTCCATCAAACAAACTCCCCAAAAGCATTGAAAACCAAAACAAAAAACAAAAAACAAAAAACGAAAACGAAAACGAAAACGAAAACACACAAAAAAGTCTACTCCACCACCACCACCACCGCGCGCGCGATGACCGATCAGCCACGGCTGCGCCACATCCGCAGCACCAGCCAATTAATCAAACAAACCACCGCTACCTTCACTGCCAATCTCCACACATTTCTCTTCCTTTCTCTCCTCTTATTCTCATTCCGCTCCCTCGTCGAGAGTGGGTCGTACCTACTCACCTCCTTCATCGACCGCGACGCCTCTCTCAAGTCTCTCCTCTCCCGTCTCGACTTCTCCGATCACCACTCCTCCACGCGCCGTCTCCATCTTCACCATCCTCACCACCACCACCGTCGCCGCCCCTTTTTACATCTGACGCGCGTTGGCACTTTGGACGATGATTTCTTCTCCGGAGATGATGACTTAGATCGCCCAATGTTCAATCCTCTCCTCAAAAAGCCTGTGAATGGCACTTTGGTAATTTTTTCTAATTTCGATCCCAATTTAGGGTTTTCATATGAAATCGTTGATAATGGAATTAAAATTTCGGAAATGGTTCGTCACGGTGTCACATTTAAAATGAGTGGTAGTTTAGAGAAATCTTTTGATAAAGAAGAATTAAGGTATGATGATGATAGTGAACAAGAAGGGGCTCAAAATGGTAAAGAAATGGAGAGAATTTTAGATTTTCAAATGCTTATAAAGGGACTAGAGCTGGGTCGTCGTGATGTGACAGCATTGTTTTTCCTCGTGAGTTTCTTGTCGGCTGCTTATGGTTGGGTAATTTTAGGGTTTACCGCAATTTATTCTTGGGTTTTGGGGATTGTGTTTGTTACAGTCGTAAATGATTTGGTTGGGAGATTTAGTTCATTAGTTGGTGTTGTGTGGGATGGGTCAAGATTGGGGATAAAAAGGCTTACTGGTTTTATTTTAATGAGATGGGCAGTTAGAGATGCATTGACTCAGCTTCTTGGCTTGTGGTTTTTCGGGGAAATTGAGGATCAGTACTCATTTTTTAAGCTTTTTGTGAGGTTAAAATTGATGCCGTTTTCTGTTATGTCACCGTGGATACAAGGGTTTGAGAAAGAGATTTCAGGGTTCTTGTTTACATGGTCTTTGGCAGATACTTTTGTGGCATTTATATTTGCCGTTGATGCCTGGGTTGCCATTGTTGATTCGAGGAGGACTGGAAGAGAGATAGTTAAAGAAGGTTGTTATTTGTTATTGACAATGATGAATCAGGCTATACAGATTAAATGTCTGGAGGCTATACTCTGTGGATCATTTGCAAGGTGGGCTTTGGCTCACTTGTTTGGCAAATCTTTTGCAATGATTTTACAGTCAATTGCGGAGGTTTACTTTATGGTGGCTTGGCTGATATTTTACTTTGCTGCACGGTCTAGGGATGCTAATATGGAGGGAAGGAGGTTCGGGCGGAGGGAATTGGAGGGCTTGGTTGACGGACATAGATGATATTTAGTAGATAATGGCATGATAGTCTCCCTTGCTGTTGCAGGCTTCAATTGAACGCTAAAAATAGCGGTTATCTCTTCAGTGCTCTGTGTCTTCCTGTTTTGCAGTCCCATTGATATAGCACTGCCCCCGTTTGGTGTAATCACCAGCAATATGTTGTATGTACTTTACAACAAGATGATATATTACTTGTGTATATTTTCCACGAGGATGCTTCCTGTGAATATTTTGTTGCAATTATTGTTTTAAATCCACTGCAGTACCTGTTTCTGGTGATGGCAATATAATTGAGAATGGTAATTGATTTACCCCAGTTCTGATATGCTGCTGAGCTTAAGAATTTTTTTTTTGTTTTTTTTTTTTCCTTAAAATTCCATTGATCAGTGATTTGCTGAGATGTATCTATGGTTCCAAATTGATGCAATTATCAACACAGTCAAGCAGGGATATTGCTTACTGCATTATTATGAAAAAAAAAAAAAAAATTCTTTTTTCAGATTGTGTATGTAATCCATGTTATGTGTTTTTATGGTTTATGAGCTTTTAACCAGCAGGTCTTACTTTTCCTTTGGAATTATCTTGATATGTTACTTCGGCGGTAGGTTGAAATTAATAAGTGAGAAATGAGTAAAATAAAGTACTTGGGCTAGAGAAGCTTAGGGAGTGAGTCAATGTACTATGATAATTTAGTGACTTATGGAAAATTACGTTCTTAGGAAGTTGCTAACAAGGGCAGTTATAATACTGCTTTGATGAGTGGAAGATTGTATCACATATAAGTTTGCTATTGGTAGGCACGCTTTAGAGTTCATCATTAATATCCTATCCTTTTCCATTGATAATGGGTTTTAGTGTCCACATGAGGCTGGAAGTGACTTCCAAGATACAACGGAGGAAAGGAGGTGGGAGACAAAAAATTAGAGGAACTTGAAGATATTATATTTATAATATGCATTATGCTTGATCATACTTTATCTATTTTTGCAACTTATTTAGGCTGAATATATTCGTGGATTAATGCCTGGAGATGTCATCAGACTGAACTTAAATTGGACGAAACTTTAGTGTCCAGAGTAGTAACAGTTCTAGACAATTAAAGTCTTTGGGTGTTGATGGTTTGCTGCCTATGATGGGTTTAAATTTCGATTTTTATTCAACATTAGATAAATCCATTTGGAAACCTAAATTAACAGAAAATGGCAGGAATACAATCAGTCACGGATGCCGGTAGTTGTTCCAGCCTATATCTTCAATGTTAAAGTTATTAAGCAGTCAGCCTCCAATCAAATTTGTAAAAGGTCATTTTCTTTTACTCGATATAAAGAGATACTACCAGTCCTGTCATAGATTCCATTGCCATGTGCATCTGGTTCAGAGGGGTTTATGGTCAATTGTGGAAATAGTGGAGATTGTTTATATGAGGATGTCTACATTGGACTATTTGAATGTGCTTTTCAAAATTGAACCCTTTTGATAATTTATAGTGATATGCTTGTGTGTTTTAAAGTTGGTTTGGACTTGTTATAGGAATTAAATTCTCTAAGTCATCTTTCTTGCACTTCTATTTAGATTTATGTGCATCTCCTCTTTTAAGAAATTCTTTTCTGGCGATCGTATCTTCTGCTGATGGTGTTTGTTTGGCTGCTGCTATCTTTTGGGCTCATAGTATCTAAAAATACCTTATTCTACTTCAAGCATACTAGCTCCCCATAGAGATATCTTTTGGCTGGTTTGGCTGAGCTCTTTACTTCGGGATATATCGAGGTGAAGTTTGCTTATATCATATTCTCTTATGCCACCCTGGTATTTTGACATAGATGTCATTTTATTTGCTGTTTTATGCTAACTACTTGTATATTTTCTCTTTGGTTTGGGGTTTGTCATTAGAGCAATTATAGCAATATTCTCTTCGGATTGTTGATACAGATGAATGGTGTGTATAATATGAGCAGCATCGACAACTGAGGGATGTCTTGAATAAGTTAAAGAGCGATTCAGTGCAGTGAGATGGTGCACAAGTTCAGAATGTAGTCAAGACTTAGTGACATAATCGGCAGATTAGGTCTTTCCAGATTTCAGTCAGAGTGCTTACGTTGAAGTTTGAAGTTGGCTGCCTCAACAGACAATGAGTATCTTTACTGAAACAAAATTTCTCAGCCTGGCCTGGCAAATTTAAGGCTTTTGGTGGATGACCCATTTTGTTGTCGTCCAGGTAAACAGATTTAGCGTGTATCCTATCAATCAGCAGCCCTGGTGTTATCTGATTACATTAGCTTTTCCACTGCCTTAAGTTTTTGGTTCATTGGTTCTGTTCGGGCCTTGGGAGTGTGATGAAGTTTTCTTGAATTTTTTTGTTTCTAGTTCACTAGGGCCAAGCTTTCCCTTGCAAATTAGAGCAATTCCGAAACCTCTTATGAGTGGTAATGCAGCCCACTGACTATAAGAAACTATCCAGAGTTTTTTTTTTTTTTTTTTTTTTTAGAGATAAAAAATTGTTTCTGCATCACAATGGGTCAAAGGAAACCCTTTAGGCAGTGCACTGAGTTTCTGACTTCAATTTTAGGGCAATCCAATGGTTGGGAAGGAGGGTAATGTTGGGTGGCATTTTATTAAAAGGTCAAATCAAGTTCAAATTTAATTAAAAGGTTATGTAGTTTGAAAGTGTTAAGTAAATAGTCTTATTATTGATTAAGGTTAATTAAACATGATTAGTGGTTAAATAGGATTAATGAAGTATTGTGTAATCTTTTAAAAATTACAATATATCCCCAAAGAGTCGAAATTCTTGCAAACAAACCCAAACACCTTCTTCTTCTTCCTCTCGCCATTAATGCATTCCTCCCTTGGTTGTTATTTCTTCTAAGCTTTGTCTACATCTTCTTCTTCTTTTGCATCTTCTTCTTCCTGTACATCTTCTTCTTCCTCCTTCCTGTACATCTTCTTCTTTCCGTCATTAACACTATCGTTTTCCTCCGCCTTTAACATCTTCTCCACCACAGATCCTCCTCCTCTTGACAATTTGTTCAAGTATGTGCATCTCCCCTTTCCATTTTATATTTTGATTTACAAAGATTTAATGATGGATTGGGTTTGGGTTTGGGTTATGATTTTTATTTAGCTGTTTAGGTTGTTGGGTTATGTTTGATGTAATGCAAGTTAAAAGGAGTGAAATTTGTTGAATATTTTCTTGCATTGTGGGTAGTTGGGGGTAGTAGCACCGATTGTAGGTGGAGATGACTGAAAATGTGTTCTAGATATGATGGATCGCTTAAGCGATCTGGTATATCTGGTATAATGCAGCAGATCATAGATCGCTTAAGCGATCAGGAATATGGCAGAAGATCACTTAAGCGATCTGCTATAAATCTAGTGTATGGCAGCAGATCGCTTAAGCGACTAGGTAAATGGCAAAAGATCACTTAAGTGATTAGGATTATTTATATCAGATCATTAAGCGATCCAGTAAGCGATGTACTAGATCGCTTAAGCAATACACCAGATCGCTCTAGTGACTCTGTAGATGTTTTTTAAAATCTTTCAACCCTTAATATATCAGTTAATAATTTTTTTTTTTCTTGCAGTATAGGTATTTGGCTATTATTAGNTTTTGTTTCTAGTTCACTAGGGCCAAGCTTTCCCTTGCAAATTAGAGCAATTCCGAAACCTCTTATGAGTGGTAATGCAGCCCACTGACTATAAGAAACTATCCAGAGTTTTTTTTTTTTTTTTTTTTTTTAGAGATAAAAAATTGTTTCTGCATCACAATGGGTCAAAGGTAACCCTTTAGGCAGTGCACTGAGTTTCTGACTTCAATTTTAGGGCAATCCAATGGTTGGGAAGGAGGGTAATGTTGGGTGGCATTTTATTAAAAGGTCAAATCAAGTTCAAATTTAATTAAAAGGCCAAATCAAGTTCAAATTTAATTAAAAGGTTACGTAGTTTGAAAGTGTTATGTAAATAGTCTTATTATTGATTAAGGTTAATTAAACATGATTAGTGGTTAAGTAGGATTAATGAAGTATTGTGTAATCTTTTAAAAATTACAATATATCCCGAAAGAGCCGAAATTCTTACAAAAAACCCAAACACCTTCTTCTTCTTCCTCCCGTCATTAATGCAATCCTCCCTTGGTTGTTATTTCTTCTAAGCTTTGTCTACATCTTCTTTTTCCTGTACATCTTCTTCTTCCTCCTTCCTATACATCTTCTTCTTCCCGTCATTAACACTATCATTTTCCTCCGCCATTAACATCTTCTCCGCCACAGATCCTCCTCCTCTTGACAATTTGTTCAAGTATGTGTATCTTCCCTTTCCATTTTATATTTTGATTTACAAAGGTTTAATGATGGATTGGATTTGGGTTATGGTTTTTATTTAGTTGTTTAGGTTGTTGGGTTGTGTTTGATGTAATGCAAGTTAAAAGAAGTGAAATTTATTGAATATTTTCTTGCATTGTGGGTAGTTGGGGGTGGTAGCACCAATTGTAGGTGGAGATGATTGAAAATATGTTCTGGATATGATGGATCGCTTAAGCGATCTAGTATATCTGGTATAATGCAGCAGATCGTAGATCGCTTAAGCGATCAGGAATATGGTAGAAGATCGCTTAAGCGATCTGCTATAAATCTAGTGTATGGCAGCAGATCGATTAAGCGACTAGGTAAATGGCAAAAGATCGCTTAAGCGATCAGGATTATTTATATCAAATCGCTTAAGCGATCCATTGTATCGCTTAAGCGATCCAGTAAGCGATGTACTAGATCGCTTAAGCAATACACCAGATCGCTCTAGCGACTCTGTAGATGCTTTTTAAAATCTTTCAACCCTTAATATATCAATTAATAATATTTTTTTTTTTCTTACAGTATAGGTATTTGGCTATTATTAGACATGGGACAAGTTGTTTTGGGTGTTAAATATTTTGGTGAGTGGGTGGAGGAAGAAAGTTGTTGGAAGTGAATTGGGAAAAGCAAAGAAGTTATATACCAATTGCTGTGAGCACAGATGTTAGTTTTGATGAATTGATTGATGAAATAATTAGAAAAGGTGATTTGAGTTGCTCACGTAGTGATATAGTTGTGAAGTATGTTTTAAGTAGAGTTCTTGAACATTATAAGGTACCTCCTGCTATATTAAAGTCGGATGAAGGTGTAAAGTTATATATGATTGATGTGGGCAATAATGGTTCAAGGCCGATTTTAAGGGTTTCTTTTGTAGATAAACTGTTGAAAGTTGGTTCAAAAGAAGGGGATAACGAGGAAGTTGGCAGAGAGAATGCTGGTTTTAATTTGCACTACGAGGGCATTGATTTCTTAGTTGAAAAATCAAGAGTAGGCGATGATTTGGGTAGTGAGGAGGACACTGTATAAGAGGTTGGTCATCTGCAGCAGAATGAAAATGTTGAGGAGGAAGCCATCGTACTCCCGCATATGTAGAGATT